TCAACAGATAATTGATGTTTTTTAAATTTTTCAACAAATTCTTCGTTTGTGTCATCGTCTTCTTGAGATAACCATTGTAACGACTTATTTTCATCATGGCTGTTTTCTCTTGCAGTTGTGGAAGCACTTGATTCTATGTTTGTGTGTCTAGACTGAGAAGTAAGTGGAGATTTTACTGCACGTATCAACCAATGTAAACCTTCATACAAGCCATCACCCGTAAGAGCGGAACATGGTTGTAAAAACCATTGTCTATTTCTAATATCATTCAGCCTCATTTCTTTGATAACATATTCTTGTTTTAATCCATTATGTATATCAACTTTATTCAAGTAGAATAGTATGGGTATTTGAATTAATTCATCTTCCCCCAACATACGCCACAATTCGTCTGTTGCCTCTCCCAATCGAACGTTATCTTGTGAGTCAACAACAAAGATAAGTGCTTGTGTGTTTTGAAAATAGTGTCGGATTAAGGGACGAATTTTATCGCATCCTCCCACATCCCACATTGTCAAAGCAGTATTTTCATATATCACTGTTTCTACATTGAAACCAATTGTGGGAATTGTTTGAATAACTTCATTCAATTTTAATCTGTAAATAATTGCTGTTTTACCCGATGCATCGAGGCCTATAATTAACCCGCGATATTGGGGTGTACCGAATAATTTAGTAAGCATTGTATGAATACGTGACGCCATTAGAAGATAATTTTGTTGTTTACCGCAAGTTTTCGTCTACCGTTCGTACAAAATGGTTTGTCACTGTTTAATGGTGCAACTTTTTCCCTCATTCAAATATTTTTTTTTCTTTTCCTTTGCTGACTCAAAACATACTTTGTCAATTTTTATTTTTTCTCTTCTTCGTTTTATAGTCGATGTTGTGTTCGACGTGACTCATCGCTTTACTTGCTAGTGTAGGCAGTAGCGATCACAGAATTTCATTAACTCTCGATGAGCTAAGATTCTTCAGATTGTATTGATAAGAAGGTACTTCTACAGAATAGTCATACCCTGGTCTATACGGTGTGCGTATAATACAGAACAGGAAAAAAAATGTGATTGGCTGATTTTAATATGTAATCATATAACTGAATGTAAGATGTCAGAAAGAGAAGATAGCAAGTAAATAATTAGAGGTCGATGTATTACGAGTCAGATTTAAACAAACAGACACTATCGAGAACACAATGAAAAATTAACAGACAACAAGAAACAAAACAAAAATAAAACAATACAACGAGAAAAATAAATAACTAACTATTCATCAGAAAGAACGAGATAAAGTAGCCTTATCTTCTAATTTTTATTTGACTCTCTCTGTCTCCTTTTCTGTCTAGTAAGAGCAGGGATGACTCCACTTTTCCTTCTCTTTCTTCTTGCAAAATCAGCAGCTAGTTAGTGAAATTCTTGAAAAATTCTTCCTTTTCCAAGCTTTTGTCTGGAGGATCGAAGGAGCTAAAATTCAGGTAGAAAGTGGTAAAATAATCGACAGGAAGTACTTCTTTCGATAAATAAAAACAAGAAAACGGATATTTCATCTTCACTATCGTGGAGGAATAAAGTATCTGATAGGATCTCCTGGTATTGGTCAGAACTGACACATAATACTCGCGAAGACGCACTAGGACTGTCTTTATACAGTGCCAGTCAGAATTCGATGAGCTCTATCGATTGGTGGAATCACTTTTCCAAAATATTGTTTATTTCCCTTTGAAACGTAAAATACCAATTTTTGTGAACAAGGTGAAGGCTCGAACTTTTCTATTTTGGCCTAACGTTTTGTATTAAAGCTGTGCCATCTTTGAAATTAAGTGTGCCAGATAGAACTCGATGAGCTCTGTTGTTGTTGTTTATTAGCGAAAACAAAAAAATCCAGTGTCAGTGCTGACTGGAGAAAACCCCCTCACCCTCACTCGATGAGCTCTATCGATTGGTGGAATCAGTTTTCCAAAATATTGTTTATTTCGCTTTGAAAATGCAAAATACTGATTTGGTCTGAGCGAGTCGAAAGCTCTAACTTTGGTACCTTCTACTGATCTTCTACGGATATTTTTTAGGTAGAACTTAATGAGCTGTATTGAATCGCAAAATCATTTGAATGTATTTGATTGGCATCTGTGACCTCATTTAAATAATGTGTTTCTGATGCAGCTTTTTGTTGCTGAAGAAAATGCGTAGCTCCGTTTATTGTTAAAGTAAATGTTTTACATCATGAGTATGAAAAATACTTTTTTGGATAAAGTGTTCTGACCTAATAGTTTGTAATTGATGAATCATTTTCATTTATTGTCTACGATTTGTGTTTTTTGCAAGAGTTGTTGGTAAAAGTAATCCAACAACGGATTAACTGTTGGAAATGGTTCTGGAACTGGTGTTGCGTGCCTGCTTGTATTTGGTAATTAATTTCAATGTTTTGTGATGGCTGTTTGTTAGATTTACATGGTTTACATTTCACCAGATACACGATAACGATAATTAAAACGATAATGAAGACGGCTATAATAGTACCACTGATTATTAAGGTTCTGGATGATGAGGAGATTTGATTCCAGTTATTTCTAATTGGAACATGGATATTAGGAGATGGTGTCTGCGTAATCAAGTCAATGATATCATCAATGTTTGAATCAATACATTTTAAATTGGATATGTATGTCTCATTTATCGTGTTCTGAATAGTAAACACATCAATATCTGGACGAGATAATGTATTATTTGATATTATAATCAGACTGGTATTACTACTACTAACTAGTGTACCACATAAACTAAACTGACCATCAGTACAAGCATAAAATGAATTTGATGGAACATGAACTAATGATACAGGTGGTATGACTTTTTTCTCATTTCGCGCTGATAATTCACCAGTTTGATCAGAACTGGGCATAACTGGAACAAGAACACAAGAATTCTGTTACTAGACACTACCCAATATCCGCCATTTAACTGAAGAGTGTAGTGATCAGCTTCTTCCACATGTTCAAACATGTATGACGATAGTTTAGTATTGGTGGATAATATCTGCATTAAATAATACTAATACTAATATCAAAGAAATACTAACACTCATTGACATATTGTAAATATTAATAAATTATTGTAATAAATTTCTCCTCGACTAACACAGAAAAGTGATCTGACCGTGTCAATATATAGCTTTATTCCACTAACGTTTATTAACAGCTGTATGAATTCTTTCTTTTATTCTTCAACACTTTATTCAATTAAGACATCCTCCCGTGCGATTTTCAGACAATAATTTTACATAAAAGCAAACGTATGTTTTGCAGCTTTCCTTAATATTGCTGTTAAACAGTTTAATATACTTAAGACAGAATTCAATTTATCTTTGTCAATAATCTGTATATTCAGAAAAAATGTTGCATAAGACAACTTTCTTTGGTATAAATAGACTTCGATTAAAGACCACCTGTACCATTTGCTTACTAACGAAAGTATGGTAGTAAAAATTATACAGTATCTATTCTATTGTTGAATTTTGGCCAAAACTTGTTATCCTATTGTCTGATTAATATTGAATATTCTCGAGCGTATCTTTATATAATTTCTTTTATTCGTATTAACTAATGATCAAAAGCTTCACAAACAGTTTTAGAAATAAAAGTAGCGATGTAGACAGATGGAATGAAGTTGGAGGTTTGAATGGCTTATTAATATCAATCAAAAGTTTAGGTCAAGGCTACCGAGAGTTAAATACCGACAATAATTGGCGACAAGAATCATCAGTATGGGGACGAGTAATCCAATTAACAACATTAAAGAAACAAGATGAAAATGCCAGGAAATGGCTATATACAGTATGGCGTGTTGATCGTCGATCAATTAGATCCGTTTTCTATGAAGATATAACATCAAAAACTCTACCAACACCATTAGCTCACAATGTTCGCAATATTTAAATTCCACAATTATCCAGTAATCCTTCAAATGAGCCAAAACCAGTTCGAACGGGAGCTGCACCGGCTATTATTATTCCAAAAAGAACTTTCATTCACAATGGATTATAAACAATTTAAAATATTTTTTGATAGAAAAGAATATAAAATATCACCTGACTGGACTAATATTATTAATGAAAAATTAATTCATGCTAAATTAAAATGTACATTTATTTTTGAGTACAAACATATCAGAATTAGTAAATCGCAAAAAACAAATCCTCCGTTCTTCACTTACATAGCTCATTGAAAGCATAAGTCATGTCATGTAGTTGTACAAGTAAAATTAGAGTGAACCAGCAAAAAAATTCAACATCATTATTTGCAATTTAGATTTTATTTAGAAGAAAATCATGAGGCTGGAATTGCCAGGCGACCATTATCGGGTACAAAAAGAGCCGAAATACGTACCAATCTCACTTAAAAAAGGCGAAATTTTCTCTTATTGAATTGTATTTTCTTTTTAGCTAAAGAAGCTGAAACACTGGGACCATTAAATGCTTATGAACAGAATATACATAAAGCAGATGAAGATCTTCTAAAAGCAGGAAATTTTAGTTATGTTCCCACAATGGACGTTATTAAAACAGCAATCAAGGAATACAAAAAACAGTATCAATTCGATGAAGATATTTTTAAAGAGATCAAAATTCTTCGTTATTCGATGTTTACATCTGATACACATTCAAAAATTCTGATCGGTAAATACATCTGATAATATCCTAGACAACTGTATTACACCGCTCAACCGCAGTTTTCGACAAGAGTCATTCCCTTTTTTCACTAAAAAAGCCTTTATCGTAAAAGCATTGTGAGGGAACTGATTTATTTCAGCATGTCAAAGCCGCATACACATTCCAAAAAATCGACAGATCTCTTCTAGGTTGCATACAAACAACGGGTGAATATCCATTTCATGTTCACTTTATTAACGAAATGCAGACAGAGCGTTTCATTCAGTATTGTCGGACAGTAAATTATTCTGTTTTACACATTGACGCTACCGGCTCTATTATTAAAAAGTTAACAGATCAAAAACAATCTTATTATTATGCAATGACCTTTAAAGATGGTGAGTGTAATGACGAGGATATTAACTTTCACCTGCGCCGTTGTTTTCTTGTTATAACTCGATCCTATACATTTATTCGTTTCTGATGTGCTCATGTTATGCATAGTTTTTCTCGCAGCTCATTGAAAATGCAATTGAAGAAAGATAAACGACACAGCTGTTTAAAACTATTCGCAGTATTACTTAATGTAAATTCATTTAATAAAGCCATTAAAGTAGTGAACACCATTTTGCATATTTATGGTGATCCAACAGTTGTTCGTACTGACGATTGTATTCAACAATTAATTACAGTGCAGGATATACTTCAGCTTGATATAGATAAATGTTTAAACGACGAAAATGTAATGAAAGATAATGACGATATAAGACGGACTTAGACAGTGTTGACGAATTATTACATTCTTCAGATGCCATCATTCACCAATCACCTTTTAATGTTGAAATGAGAAAAAGAATAACTTTAATGGATAAACATTTGAATAAAAGTACAAAATTTAATAATATTACCAATTCCAATTTTTCTCGTGTTGTCTTAGAGCGCGGCAGACTATCAAATGCCGTCGCCGAGAGCTACTTTCAAATCATCAAAGAAAGTATATTACAAAATAAAAGACGATTACGACCAGCAGATGCACTTATAAAAATCAATCAGAGCACACTGGCTAGGCTAAAAGCCGGTCGTTATGGAGTAGCACAAAAAGCATCAGCACGTAAAGCTCGTCCTGTTGACGTATTGATACCAGAGGTTTGGCGAAAACGAAGAACTCACGAGGAAAGGTCCCCAACTGCCAACTCGCTTTTGAGCTCTAAGCTAGTGGACAATAGGTAATCAAACATGCTGAATCCGACTATGACAAGCATTTGGGCTGCTAGGCCTCTGGAAACCCGGTTTTTGGAAAACTCTAAACACCTACCAAAAGCTTTCTTAATGAGGCGTAATTGTAGTCCATAAATTTCTGATTAAAACGAGGCATCTCCCAGCTCTACATGACCTTTCTTTGCAAAGTTATAGAGTTTACAAGAAAAGCCCTAAATGTTCATTGTCACCTCAGAGCTACAGAAAGAAAAACGAAAAATGAATTTAGGGCTTTTCTTGTAAACTCTATAACTTTGCAA